TTGTCTATAAAATGACAAAACATCTACAAAAAGATGCACAACAACTATGACGGGACACAAAATGACTCAGAGAGACTCGAAAGAAGATGAAACAAAAAGATTAGGAGACAGAACAACAAAGTGAGACGGATGCAACTACAAAGAGATGTGAAACTACAACGACATGATGCAAAACAACTACAAGAGAGAAAATAACAACAAAAAAGACATAAAACAACTAAAGAGACGTGAAACAACAAAACGATGCAAAACTTCTCGTGTTCAGTTTCATGAGCTGCTGTGGAGACGAACTCACGACGCCTCAGTCTGACTTCTATTAAAAATACATCCGATTTATTGATCTCCATTTGTTTCACTGACCACAAACCTTCCTTCACAGAGTCTGAATATAAAACACTAAACCCGTGACCCGGTCGGTCAGAACCGGGTCTTGAAGCCGGAGACCTCCAGCCGGTCGATGGACCTCTGGTTGGTGAAGGAGGCTCTGGTGATCCGGCTGGTCGGACTGCCCTCTTTGCTGAGCCAGACCTTCCTGTGGAGACAAAAGTGAAGTTACAGGAGGAAAGCTGAGCTGCTCTGGAGTTTAGCTCAGAAGTTCTGGAGGACTCAGAGTTTAACGGGAAGCACAGATCCAGCAGCAGGAGATCAGAGCCAGAAACAGTCCAAAAAGGAACAAAACAATATAATAATCTTTATATTATTAGTTTTCTGTTCACATCACGATCATCCAGTGAGACCAAAAAGGATTTTAAAATAAACTGGAACTCGTAAAAACCAGTTTGTCCACTTTTAATTGGACTAATTTAGTAAAATGTAAAAATCAAAACAAAAATCAATAAATAAAGCAAAATGATTTGTTGAATAATATCTAATTGCAAGTTTTCAAACTTAATTGTCTTAAAATCAAGCTTCGGTTTAATAATTATAATTAACATACTGTGTTTTTATATAATTATATTTATTTTTTGTTTTTTTAATAATTTTTTTTTACATCATTGCTGCGAGATTTTCACCTTAAAAAAATAAAATAAAAAAGTTTATTTATTTATTTTTGGTTTATTTTCCTACTTTACTTTTTTTTTACACTTTAGAAGTTTTTTATATTTTAATGTGTTTTTTTTTCACATCGTTGCTTCGAGATGTTCAGTTTTTATTATTTAATTAGAATTTTTTTTTTTGGTTTGTGTGGGTTTTTGTTTTGTTTTTGTTTTTTTTGTTTTAACTAAATTAACTCTAAACTGTTAATAATTGTAATTTTTTTTGTTTGTTTATGTGTTTGTTTATGTTTTCTGTGTTACAGTTAAAGTCTTTTAATTTGAAAATCACTGGGGGGGAGGGGGACTGTTTGTATTAAGGGTAAGTAGGTTTTTATTTATTTATTCTGCAGCGTGGACGGAGCAGAGATATTTTGGAGCAGATATATTTTGGAGACGAGTTTCGCTTCTCGTGGGACAAAAAAAATAATAATTAAAAAAAACACAGGAGCAGCCTGCATCTGGACGCCCAGGGGCATGATGGGAAAGCATTCCTCCGGTTAAATATAACCCTGAGAATCTGCGTTTGTGGCGGCGTGACGCTGTGCTGAGTGTGTGCGGTGTGTAGATTAGAGCAGATTGGAGAGGATCAGGGTCACGTCCAGACCGAGGCTCAGCACAGACAGAATCTGTCCTACTTTCTGTTTATTGGTTAGAAAACTTCCTCCACAACTCCAGCGTCCAGCGGCTTAGCGCCACTCTGCAGCAGCTGCTTTCTAATCTGCTGCTGCCTCCCTCCAAAAAAACCCTCTGATCCCCGTGATCCACTAACACACAAACTTGACGGTGACGTAGCAGCAGCTCGGCCTCCAGACTCCAGAGTCTACAGTCAGGAGCATCAGGAGGCTGAAACACACTCAGGAAAACTGGAAAAGGGACGAAAGTAGCAGCAAATACCTTCAGCTATTCTATTTATTGTGTTTTAGCTGAAAGCTGCAGTGAAGAGAGGTAGAAAACCAGCTGCAGCAACAACAAGATACGCACAAGGACGACAACAAGATGCAAAGTGTCTAAAGGAGACACAAAACGAACACAAAAAGGTTTCACACGACGACAACGAGATGCGAAACAATTAAACGATATGCAAAATGATTCAGAAAAAATACACAAAACAACTACAAAGAGATGCAAAATGACTCCAAAAAGATGCAAAACAATAGAAACAAGGACACACAAAACGACGAACAGAGATGCAAAACGATTCAAAGAGACGCAAAACAATCGCACAAAGATGCAGAAAGGATAAAAAAGCACACAAAATTATTTTAAAAAGGTGCAAAAAAGCTGCTTTTAAAATGACCAAAAGATGCAAGACGACTGCAAATAGTTATGAAACAACTACGAAAAGATGTAAAACATCGACAACGAGATGCGAAACCGTTAAGAGACAAAACAATTAAGACACAAAACGAGTGTAACCGCTGCAAAGAGCAAAGCAATTAAAATGGATGCAAAATGATTAAAAGATACACAAACAACTACACAGGGACACAACATGACTCCAGAAAGATGCAAAACAACACAACAGGAGTCGCAAAACAACCGCACAAAGACGCAAAAGTATTAACAAATACACAAAATGATTGTGTTAATTTGCACTGATAATACAAAAAAAGCTGAAAGAGACCCAAGAAAACTACATTAAGATGCAAAACAACGACAAAAAGATGTAAAGATGCAACTAAAGATGACCAAAAGACACACAAAACGACTGAAACAGATCTAAAATGAAAAGCAGCAAAAAAAAAAAACACCAAAATATTGACTGAAAGAGACACAAGACAGCTACAGGAAGCAGCAACATGTTGAAAGGAGACACAAAACGAGCACGAGATGCAAAACTGATTAAAAGACACACAAAACTATTTAAAGAGACACAAAACGATGCAATAAGGTGCAAAAAACAACTGTTTTTAAAATGAGCAAAAGATGCACAAGACGACTACAAAGATTAGCAGCTGAAGGAGACCTAAGACGACCACGTATAGATGTGAAACAACGACAACGAGACGCAAAACGAGTGTCAACCGCTGCAGAGACGCACAATGATTCAATGAAAACTACACAAAGACAAGGATGAAGAGATGTAAAAAAACTATGAAAAGATGCAACTAAAGATGATTTATAGAGACACAACACGATGGAAATGAAAAGAAACGAGTAAAAATGATCCAAAATACCCACAAAAACATAAAAACACTGAAAGAGACACAAAACCACGACAGGAAGATGAAACACACGAATGAGGAGACGCAGACTGACTAGAAGGCTGAAAACAAGAGAAAAAACAGCTACAAGAGCTTCAAGTGATGCTGAACGACTCTGATCTCGTTTTGTTGTTGTCTCGTCACTGCTTTGATGCTTTAAGGCCTAAACATGTCCAGAACCTGGACCTGGACCTGTCAGATGATTTGCATCTCGTCAACGCTCCTCAGACTCGGTGTTCCTGGACTCATCTGGACTCATCTGGACTCATCTGACCGTCTCGGGTCATCACAGTCGGGTCGTGTGCTGCCGTGTCTTCCTCCAGCTGGAGGTGTTGCTGCACATCGTCTCTCCTTCATGGTTTTGACTCGTGGAACGTGGAGAACGTTCGGTTCCACTCCGGCCTCCTCCCTCCGTCCTCTGCTCTCAGAGGAGAAGCAGAGGCCGCCCACTCGCTCGCCTCCCACCGACCCGACGCTGCAGCGCTGCTCGCTTGCATCGCCGCCCTCCGCTTGATCCCATTCCAGCTGCTTCCTGTTTCCCAGGCCGACAGGAAGTGAGGTCGTGGTGAAAGTGGCGTGCACGGGAAGGACGCGAGGGCGCAGCGAGTTAACGCCGAAGAGATCCCTGAAATAATGGACGGAAAGCGAGGACGGCGGGTGTTCTGATCCCGTTCAGCGAGAGCAGGAGTCACGGCGAGGTCAAAGAGATCCACAGAACCGCACACAAAGCAAAGAGTCCAAACTCTGCACATTGACATGATGCTAACTTTGGAGTCGACTACAAGACGTTTACACGCTTTAACCTCGCAGCACGTTCTGGTGTTTGCTCCATTTTTAACTCACTGTGGTTCATGTTTCTCTGCAACATAAAGTCCTGAAGCTCCACGGAACCAGAACCACCAGGAAGTAAAATGATGACACAAAGATGCAAAACAACTACGAAGAGAAAGAAAATGACAAGAAAAGANGCAGTGAAGAGAGGTAGAAAACCAGCTGCAGCAACAACAAGATACGCACAAGGACGACAACAAGATGCAAAGTGTCTAAAGGAGACACAAAACGAACACAAAAAGGTTTCACACGACGACAACGAGATGCGAAACAATTAAACGATATGCAAAATGATTCAGAAAAAATACACAAAACAACTACAAAGAGATGCAAAATGACTCCAAAAAGATGCAAAACAATAGAAACAAGGACACACAAAACGACGAACAGAGATGCAAAACGATTCAAAGAGACGCAAAACAATCGCACAAAGATGCAGAAAGGATAAAAAAGCACACAAAATTATTTTAAAAAGGTGCAAAAAAGCTGCTTTTAAAATGACCAAAAGATGCAAGACGACTGCAAATAGTTATGAAACAACTACGAAAAGATGTAAAACATCGACAACGAGATGCGAAACCGTTAAGAGACAAAACAATTAAGACACAAAACGAGTGTAACCGCTGCAAAGAGCAAAGCAATTAAAATGGATGCAAAATGATTAAAAGATACACAAACAACTACACAGGGACACAACATGACTCCAGAAAGATGCAAAACAACACAACAGGAGTCGCAAAACAACCGCACAAAGACGCAAAAGTATTAACAAATACACAAAATGATTGTGTTAATTTGCACTGATAATACAAAAAAAGCTGAAAGAGACCCAAGAAAACTACATTAAGATGCAAAACAACGACAAAAAGATGTAAAGATGCAACTAAAGATGACCAAAAGACACACAAAACGACTGAAACAGATCTAAAATGAAAAGCAGCAAAAAAAAAAAACACCAAAATATTGACTGAAAGAGACACAAGACAGCTACAGGAAGCAGCAACATGTTGAAAGGAGACACAAAACGAGCACGAGATGCAAAACTGATTAAAAGACACACAAAACTATTTAAAGAGACACAAAACGATGCAATAAGGTGCAAAAAACAACTGTTTTTAAAATGAGCAAAAGATGCACAAGACGACTACAAAGATTAGCAGCTGAAGGAGACCTAAGACGACCACGTATAGATGTGAAACAACGACAACGAGACGCAAAACGAGTGTCAACCGCTGCAGAGAGACGCAAGATGATTCAATGAAAACTACACAAAGACAAGGATGAAGAGATGTAAAAAAACTATGAAAAGATGCAACTAAAGATGATTTATAGAGACACAACACGATGGAAATGAAAAGAAACGAGTAAAAATGATCCAAAATACCCACAAAAACATAAAAACACTGAAAGAGACACAAAACCACGACAGGAAGATGAAACACACGAATGAGGAGACGCAGACTGACTAGAAGGCTGAAAACAAGAGAAAAAACAGCTACAAGAGCTTCAAGTGATGCTGAACGACTCTGATCTCGTTTTGTTGTTGTCTCGTCACTGCTTTGATGCTTTAAGGCCTAAACATGTCCAGAACCTGGACCTGGACCTGTCAGATGATTTGCATCTCGTCAACGCTCCTCAGACTCGGTGTTCCTGGACTCATCTGGACTCATCTGGACTCATCTGA